GTCATGTGACCACAGGAAAGGACAGAAACTCCCTGCCTTGTTTCTTCACTGGTAAAATGGGGACAGTGGTCTTCATCTTGAAGGGTTGTTGCAAGAATTAAACTAATATATGGAATGAACAGCCCTAACACAGCGCCTAGTTGCCCAGAAGTTTCTTCACAGCTTCAGGAAAGTGATTACTTCAAACGTCCACGTATCAGACAAAAACCCTCTCGGCTCCTAGTTTCACATAACCATACCCAAATTCACAACCTGGAATCTGACTCTCTTAATCTGTGCCAACGGAGCATCGTCTGACCCTTCTGGAAGTGCCCACGGGCTGGGTCCCCACAGCCCGGGGAGGCTGAGCGCCCAATGGCTCGTCCAGCACATAAATTCTCTCCTCTGCACGGCTTCCCCACCAAACCCCTTGTTTCCCTGCCGAGTTTCCCCAGTCTCAGAGCAACTCTCCCTGGCTTCTTCACTTCTGTCCTAAAACATGCAGACTTTTCTAAGTAATTCTTCACCTACTTGGCTACTATCAACCCCCTACTAAAACCTTTGAAACACATTTGATTCCTGGGTAAAGGAGTTTCCTCGCGACCTGCGCCCTTAATCTCAGACAAATTACCACACCTGTAACCCCTTCCCCCAACCCGCTGGCCTGGGATTGTGTCTTTCTGCATAAGCAAATTTCCCTGCTACCTAAAACCCCTGCCTTCCTAGACCCCTCAGCCTCCCAGGCTTCTCCTACCCTCGGGGCGGGGTGTGGGGGGCGGACAGTGAGTGGGGAAGAACCGAAAATGGCATTTCCTCCTCCAAAGTTTTGGCTTTTCTCTCTCTCCTTGCCTGGTTTCTCTTCCTCTGTTCCCTCCACCACCTCCAACGACTCAGCTCTGTTCCCACTGGGTCAAGTCCTCGCTGGCTCATACCTGCCACTCCAACATTCTCACTGTCACCAGCAGCTAAACTGTATTCTTCACTCAAGCATCTCTGCCTGCTTCCCACCTGGCATGGCCTCCCGGCAAGCCCCGGGCCTCCCGGCAACCCCTACGCCACCCAGAAAGCAGCCCAGGCTGTTTCCCAAGAACCTTTACTTCCACGGGTCTCAGCTTCTAAGGATCAAATAATGAAAACCTGACAACACCTGTGAACTGAGAGCAGCTACTCAGACTCATCAGAAACACCTGCGAAATTCTGTGTTAAATGCCCGTTCCAACCAGAGACACAGGCAGTAAGACAGTACTGTACCCTCTGATGGCTCACCCAGCTCAATGTGACAGCCAGCAATTCATTTCAATCTGATTCTCTGTGTATAGCAAGTAGGGGATCTCTTTTAAGTTTCTGTTTGCTTTGGTTTTGGAGGTTTCATTTGTTGAGCTTTGCCTAACAGGAATTATCCTTTCCCACCGCAGTCCATGTGCAATGATCCCGGGAGCACTTCCACCTCCCATGCCTGAAGGCTCATTTACTGCCTTCTGGAATAAGGCTTCCTGGAGCACGAGCTTCAGGCTGTCCCCTTGAACTGCCAGAGACAGATCCGCCTACTGGCTATTCTTTGCTGTAAAGACAACTGTGCTCTAAGACAAACAACTTATTCTTCGGGGAAAACAATTAATTTCAAACATTACACGTGTTCCCCATTTATTCACATCAGCTCATCCTCTGCTATCTGACTTACACAAAAACACAAAGACTTGCCAGATGACAACTGAATGAGTGGGATGCACATAACAAAATCTGTACCCTATTGCTTCGCTTCCTCTTTGTTTTTATAAGATGGTGAAATCTTTATAAGCAAAAGGATTAATTCTTCCCCTGCTCTTTAAGGACCACTCTCTTCTGACAACCACTTAGCTGAATCCCCCCAAATCTGATTTGAAAAAAACAGCAATGGCACACTTTCAAGCAAGTGGTTCCTAGGGACTTTGGAGATCTACAACACCTGGAGGAGGCCAGTCTTATGGGGACATTTGGGAAAAACTTGGCTGTTTCAGAACACTGACTAGAGCAAACCTCTCAGCTAATTCTACACGTAAAAGTTTTTAGCAGTATACATTTTGGAATCTCTTGCCCCAGAACACACAATATGGATCTAATTAGGTCCAGCTGCCTTATGTTAGTAATAAAATTGAAAGAAAAAGGGAGAGAGAGAAGTGGGGGTAGGGACTTTGTTCGTCCCCTTCTATGTCCGGTGATCACAAGCTCCCAAGGCTGGCGCATCCTCGGCGCTCACTCCAGGCAACACACGTTCCTTAGATCCCCCGGCGTGCCTGGTACCCCGCTCAGAGCGCAAACTTTTCAGGGGCTGAGTTTTCACCCGCTGGAAGAGATTTACTGAGCGGCTGGAGCCCAGTGCTCTGACCCCACCTCCACCCCCGCGGCCCAGGCCAGGGCGCTCCCCGCCCTCCCCTCCGCTCCGAGACTTACACGAGCGCGGACGGACAGGGCATCTGGTTCCAAGCACAGTTGTACTGAGCCTGAATAAAACTCTCACTTCCCTCCAGCACCGAGCAGCTCACGTTCTTGTTCACGATGTAGGCGCACCAATTCCTGGGGCGAAGGAGGGAGGGAGAAGCGCACAGCGTAAACCCGGAGAACAATGAGGCTAGGGGAGAGGGGACAAAGTGAGAATCGGGGAGCCCGTCGTCCCCGCGGAGGCGGGGGCTGGACAAGCAGACATCCGGAGGGTGCGCGGGTGCGCCTCTTGAGAGAGTACACTTTTGCCCGACAGGAGATAGGAAGAGCCCCCTGTCCCAGGGACCCCAGTGATTCCCGGGGGCAGTCTCCTGATCGCCCTGCTCTGCGGGCCGCTCCCCGCGCCCCGTGGCCCCGAGGCAGCACTGCTGGAGGCGCAGGCGAGGTCGCCCGGGACGCCCCGCGCGCGCGGGCCCTGGAGCACGCAGCCACCGCGGAGGAGGCACCGCCCCGGCCGCCGGAGTGGGACCCGGGATGCGGCTCACCGCCTCGGCAGGGCAGCTTCAGGGCCAGCGGCGGTTCGGGGACGGGTAGGCGGAGGCCCCACAGTTCTTGGAGGGAACCTCGCCGTCCTGGGGGCGAGGAGGAGCCGCGCACTTACTTGTTCCTGGCGCTGGGCCGCGCGGGGTGCCTGGGCTGCGGGCCGGCGTGGCACAGCCCCGCGCCGCCCAGGGCCAGCAGCGCCAGCGCCCAGCGCCAGGGAGCGCGGGGCCGGGGCCGTGTCCGCTGCCACATTCTGCGCGCGGAGGGCACGCCCCGCCGGCCGGATCCGGAGCGCGTGGGTCGGAGCGGGCGCCGGGAGGCTGCGGGCGGCCGGGGCGCGGCCCGGAGAAGGCAGGAGGCTCGGGCGCTTCGCGGCGCCCCAACTCGCGCTCCGCGGCCGCCCCCTCCTGCTTCTCGCTCCCACTTCTTTTCCACCCCGTGCGCCCGCTCTTCTCCTCGGTCCCTCAATGACGCACAGGTCCCCCCGGGTGCCGCCCTCTTTATTTCACTTCCCTCTCCGAAACGTGACTCTCCCTCCACCACGCCTGTCTCCAGTCCTCTTGCTTCTCGGCAGGGGGTTTGGGGTGAAAGGGCTATAGGGTTTGGGAGAAGGGTCTCTGTTACAGAATTTCCAGTTACTCATTCCTTTGGTCTCTTCCCAGAAGCAACTCCACCTCCCACCTTCCAGCAGGCGCTCCCGGGGCCCCTCGGGAAGCGACCGCAGTCAGCGAGTCTGGCGGTCCTCACGTCGTGCCCGGGTGCCGGCTTCCTACGGAGAATGAGGGACATCTTTATCAGTCCTTTATCAGACCCGACTCGGATTTCCCTTTCTGGCAAGACGCGGCCATTGCTCCACATTTGGACTTAGGAGAGTTTAGGGGAAATGAACGCGGGTCCTCTTCTCTTTCTTTCCCTTCCGCATCCATTTAACAGTTTCCAACTCAATGTGCGGGGCAGCAGGGGACACTGGAAGCGACAGCCCCACCACTTCCCAGCAGCTTCTGAAGCGCACATGAGACTCTAACATACACTACACTAATTTTTGAAAGGTAATCTCACAGCCTCTGCTTCTGATGTCCTATTCTGAACTTAACTTCTATCAACGTTGAAGGCATTTACTCCACAATAATCGCTTTTGCTTCTAAACAGCTCAGACACTGTAGGCGTCCACCTTTTCACTTGCTTGCGTATTTTCTGCCTGTTTTTGAGTTACATCAAGCTCTACTGATTTCTTTTTGGGATGAAGCAACTCCACAGAAGAAAGTTACATAAAATCCCCACCAGGGTGTTGTATTCTTGGGGTATGGAGAAGGCTATGTACTTCAGTTAACCTGCTGCATCTAATGAACCAGAGTGAGCTTGTTTGTGGACTAAATAGATTAACTGCAATGTCTGTGAGCAACAGGACGCTGCTGGCTATGAACTGTGGACAGTAAAGCTTTGCTATGGTCCCTAATGTACCTAAATGGAGCCAGTGGTCCATTTTATTTCTCATACACTTTGATGATGATGTTGGGCCTTTTGATTTGCAAATATAAGAAAATAAAATTCCCTAAGTAGAAACTTCACAAGAGCAAAGCAGAAAAATATACCATGTAAGGACATTGTCCATGAACTCTCCAAGTGGAAGATCATGCAAATAATGGACTGACATCATCCCAGCCTTCAAAAGAGCCACCGAGGGGAAAGTAACAGAAAGGGATAAAAAGCTGTCTTGCGTAACCCAATCTCTATCTTTCTGTGGGACTTTTCCCCAGTCCTCCCAATCCTAATGCAATTTTTGTCCCTAAAGTGTCATAAGGAAGAAGCAAAAATGAGGGAGAGGGACAGAAGGGGGAAAAATGGAGGAAACACCCAAGTTATGTCTGTCTACAACTGACAGCTAACAAACCACTTCTCTTTGATACCAGTAAATTCTCAAACTTGAGAGCGAGCCAAGTTGACAAGTCACATCTATTTTTTTCATTGAATCAGTTATACCAGGAAGCTGTATTCTAGTCTGAAAGCTGGAGGACCAAATTTTCATTGAAATGACAATACTATATTGAATCAGCTATAAATGGCATTTATCAGTAATTAAATATTATTCTAAGCATCTCTTACATGGGAGGCACTGAGCAACAATAATGAATCTTGGTGAGCCAAGACTGATGTGGGCTCTGGGTTTACAGAGCTGCCAGGCATTCCTGTGCAAGGAAGGGTGTAATGGTTCTGGTGGACAGTCAAATAAGGGAGACAATATTTGACCCATGTGTCTCTCTAGACACATCCCCACGTCTCTGGTGTGGGGCTGCCCTGGGAAGATGGAAAAGGACTCTTGGCTCTCAAAAAGACTTGAAGCCAAGATCTCAAAAGACCTTTCTCTTCTCTAGCCAGAGGAAAAGACCCTTCAGATTCAGGAAACGGAGCATCTTGCAGAAGAAGCAGGGCAGAGGCAGTCTTCCTGAGGAGGGAGAGCTGAAGCGCATCAAGACACAGTCTAACTGGGCAGGTCCAATGGTCCCAGTCACAAACAATGAAGTGGACGTAACTGGCAGATGCTGGAAGTGTGAGTTCTTTATAAACCGCCAACTTCCTCAAATAAGCACTTGAAAACTGTCATTTTCCTATAACAATCTGAAGGACTTTCTTCTGTTTTTAAAACAAAAGTGCCCCATAGTAATTTATACTCTTGATTGTGTAACCAACTTACTGAACGGAACTTGGGTGCTCTCCCCGGTGAGCAGCCAAGCCAATCTACTTACCCCGGGCTGTGGTGAAGGGGAGTACACAGCATTTACTGCAGGGCACCAAGCAAGGAGAACAGGCAGCTCCAGCTCAAAAGACCCAAACTCCCCTCTGGCTTTCAGGGAAGGGTTTTAAAGGCAACATTTGGGGTGAGGGTTACAGGATGCATGATCAGCTTGTGCACTTTGGTCTGACTGGTTGGTGGTGAGGTAACAGGGTGAAGCCTTTGGGAATTTCAATCATCAATCTTCTAGTTCCAGCTAGTCTGGGGTCTACGGGCTTGTGGTCGGTGTCCTCCACCTGGGTAGTGGTCAGAACAACTCAAAGATATGCATCAGAGTGTCGTCTGTGTCCCCGGGGGAGGAGCTAGGACTTTGTTTTATCGCTCAACTATTGTGTGAGCTATCATTGCCTTTCTTACTTGACTGCTTTTCCTTTGTTTCTGCATTCCCTCACTTCTCTAATTAGCAACTGCTTGAGGCTGCTCTTTGGAACTCAGGGAAGGCCCAGAAGACTAAAGCCTTTTTCTCTACAAAGAAGAAACAGGGAACACAGAGGGGCTTTTGTACCCTGCACAGCCCTGCAGGGTCCTGCTCGGTTTTGATTCCCCCTTTTCTTGATATTCCTCAATCCTGACGGAAACATGGGCGGGACAAGAAAGGGAAGAAGATTTTGGTTAGAGAGGATAATCATAAACTTGGCAGAGGAACTCAGCTTTAGGGGGCTCAGTGTCATTATCTGAAGCAAAAATGCAAAGTTGAACTACCTCATAAAATCCACTCCCTTGCTATTGGTCATGAGAAAAGATCTCATCAGGCTCTATACTTGGGGGCGAGGGAGTGTACTTCTCCTGAGGAGGTGAGCCTGCTGGGTGCCTAGCACACCCAGCCTCCCCTTCCACTGCCTGATGGAGGAGAGGGGTGATCGTTACAAAGGCAGCGGTCGGGTTCATTCCCGGCATCCCACCACCAGCCATCTGGGCACATTTGATCAAGATGAACCGATTTGCATCTAGGATGTGGTCAAGTCATAAGACTAGCCTGGGTGTCCCACCGTACTCATTCCTCATCTTTGCCTTCCAGAACTCAAAAACAAATTTTTTCCCCTCATTTCTGGGCTTACTTTTAGATGTCTTAACTTCTTCTTTGTGCTGTTGACTAATGATGGAAAAAGAAAGTCCTTAAAGATTAGATATCTTGAATAAACTTTGATTGCAAAACATTTCTAACGTAATACACCCTAGAAAATGTCTTACACATTCTTAAATTAGTGATAAGATGCCCCCCCCACCTTTTTTTAATGCAGTTTGGTAGGGAGAGACAGAAATGTCTGAGAAAAATTAACTGGCTGCACCATCTAGCTTGGTCTCTGTTTTGGAAGGCTAAGGTTTGGTTGATACAATTTTGTGTAGTTCCATTTGCCTAGGCACAGCATTTGACAAGGAGCCTTCAGAATGAATTCAGTAAGCTCCCAGACTTCAAAACTTACAAGCAACAGCTACTTTCCTATCTGTCAAAGGCTTTACTTAAATAGACCAAAACAGAACAAAGAACAATTGCTCTCTTCAGTTTTTCCTAGCTATATAGTTGCAAATATCCCATTAGCTATACAGAGCTAAAGATTCAAAATCTCTGTATCTTCTGAACCCAAGGCAGATCTTATTTATCAATCGATTCGACAGTACTATGAAAGATTATGGCCATTATTTTAATCATTTTCCTTCAGAGATGCCAGGAGCAAATCTCCCTATATTGATTGATCAGGGGTGTGTGCCTTAATACATGTTAAATCACCACTTGAAAACTTCAAAACTGTGAAAAGTTGAAATCATGCCTGAAATTACACAAGGAAAAAAACACTGTTTGGGAGCTCAGGCAATGGAGTTAGCGAAGTTCAAAACTGGGTACCCTCACCTCCTGAGCAGAATGATCGGGGACAAGTCAAAAAGCCTCCCAATCCTCTATTTCTTCCTCTGAACATGGGATGCTGCCTGGGGCTTTTGGGAGCATTTGTGGCGTTACGACATGTGAACTGCATAGCACGGTGCCTGGCACGCAGTATGTGGAGGATAAATATTCACAATTTTTGTTACTCACCGCTTCAGCATTGTAACAAATTTGCAGTCAGATTCAGAGCTTTGTCATCCTTTTGTTGTGCCACTGATGTGGGTGGCTAACCATCTACTACACTTTTTTCCAAATAAGGAAGATGAAGAAGTAGGTATGAAGTGGACATTTGCACGACTCCGGCAGGACAACTTTAAATGTGATGGTTGGGCTCTTGACTTCTAGCCCTGTTTTCTTTCTCCTGCTCCCCAAGAGAAAATGTGGAGTTCAGCTGATTGTTCAGGACATTCCATCCTCTGCATTGCAAACGAATTAATTTTAGGACAATTCTATGAACTCTTTGGGGGGATTAATAACCCTACAGAAATAAACTCAGATAATCAGGCCATGCAATAGTAAATATGTTCTTCTTCCTCAAAAAAGATGAAATTAGTAACCAATTCCATTTCCTTTAACTTTTTCCAGCTGTTTCTTAGATCTAAAAATGCATCCTATAGCTAACTGTGGGCCACATAATACATTCAACAATTCAGTGCTGTCACACTGATGGTGTGGTTTTGAACACATTTTTTTCTTCATAAGAAATAAGTGATAAAAATAGGCTCTTAGAATTTCATTTGTTTCTAAGAGAACTATAATAGCTCAGGCAATAATGCCTTCATGTATATGAGCCACATCAAACTATGTTGTAGTTCATCATTTATTTATGGAATGAGAGTTGGTTGTTCTGGAATCAACAAAATGTTTTAAATAGGCAGAAT